GAGAGAGAGAGTGAGAGAGAGAGAGAGAGAGAGAGAGAGAGAGAGAGAGAGCAGACACTCAGACACCATGTATTATATAAAAAACACTTCATGCACACAAGCAACTACCCAATCTTATTTTAGATTTTGCTCTCATGGCCAAATCATTAAAGAAGATTTTTCTGAGGTGATTCAGTACAAGATAATTAACTTGCATAAAGGAGAAAGTAAAAGAAAAGTAAAGCGAGTTTTAAAAAATTATTAAAGATACAGAGAAAATGGGTCTTAAAGGATGCACAGCTGTCAAGAAGTTGTTACTTACAAAAAGAAATTTACACTGGAACAGCATTCCCAATCTGATGCTCTAGGCCCCCCAGACAATCCACATTTTCCTTCACCCCTGCAGGAACCAGTTGGGTTGAAACAAAAATATAGACTGTTGGAACAATTAGACTTCATTTGTAATTGGTGGACATGAGAAGCAAAAAATGCAACCATCTTCTAAGACTGAACTTCGGAGGTGTGGAAAAACATCTCTGCAGAAACACTGAAAACGACTCTCTTGAAAAGAATGGAAGCTGCAATAAAGGCACAGGGTGGAACAGTGGATGCTAAAAAAATATTATATTTAACCCTTTACATGGCCAGCGCTCGCCTGTGAGCCCAGAGTTATATTACACACTTCTATAAGCTAAGAATGGCAGTTTTCACTAGATTCCCTTTTGTTTTTGAATAATAAGCTTTAGCATGTAATAAGTCTGGGATTTTAAGGGTTTAATTGTTGAGGCTTCTGTCTATTTAAACATTTTCACTAGAAATTAAACAAACGAAAGGGTAGTCTCTGAATTTTAACAGTACTGAAAATACAATAAAAGCTGCATTTTGTGTCTCAGTGCACTCCAGATCAGTCATTGCATTGATTTGTTAAGCCCTTAAATGGACAGGATGGGCCCAGAGTTTTATTGCACACTTCTATAACTTAAGAATAACTTTTTACAGTTACAGTTTGCACTGTAATCTGTCTAGTTACTCAGTAATAAGCCTTAGTATGTAATAAGCCTGGGATTTTAAGGGGTTAAATTCCATCACCAGCTGACCTGATTTAATTTAATAAAAGACCGATTAACAAAACTATGTATTGGATGTAAATACTGGGCTTTCTCAAAGAGAGATTACGTTTAGTGGCATAATATTACAATATACTGTTTGCTTATCTGTATTTATTCAAACATTAGTTTTTTTAACAAATAAATATTGAAATATAAGATTTTTTTTCAGGTGCATAAGACTTTTGCACAGCACTGTATTACAAGCAAAGAAAGTTCATGCATGCTGAGAAAAAGTTTGGAACTAAAACTAAGCATGAGCATGTTATCAGTCAGACTTACTCTGGTGCCATTTTGTGCAGTTCTGGCACAATATCAGCATTGCATTCCAAAGGCAATTACATTTATAGAAACTGGGAACAAGGGAAATCTTCTTGGATGCCTCTGCCTCATTTCAATTAACAGCTATAAAACAGCTGAGTTATTCAGTTTATGACTGACTGCACACTATAGCAATATATTTCCATTCACACTAATGGGTGAATGAACAAACGGAATGTGTTAAATATAGGGTGTTACTGGAGGAATTATAAATGTGGGCATTAAACTGAAAAAAGTAGGTCATACCATTCTAGCCGTTTGTTGTATACGCAGATCCGGAGAGAAATTCTCTCCACAATCAAGATTTAAGATGGTGCGCAGGTTAGAAAGCCTCAAAAGCCAAACACACTTCCCCTGTCTGAAACCCCTCTCCTTATCCAAACACAAAATGTAGATGGTGGTAACTCAATTATGGAACAATGTTTTCAGTTCCTCAGAAGACTAAGCCATTGTTCTGTGTGCCTTCTCATGGCTTCAGTATGGAGTGAGAGTTGCTGATAGCAGAATCTTGCCTCTGCAGACTCTCGCTCACACATTCACGCACAAGCACACTCGCGCACGTATGCTGCCCTGATTTCCTTCACTCAAACGCACATAAACAAAAGACTTTACCAATCTGCTGAGGCAGAGACCTGAGGAGGTTCATACAGAAACAGCTATGGAGAGTAGCTTTCAGTAGTGTCTCTCGTTTTCTGGGCCATGACAAGGCCACATTGTCCACACACACGCAAGACTGTCCAGCATGTTATCACCACACCAAGCTGCCATGGGGTTTTCGAGTGCATGGCCAGACACAAACACCAAGTGGAAAAAATCATTGGGATCTCGGGCACGCAAGGCCTCTCGACAATTAAAAGTCCAGTCAGGGACAACAGAAAACTAAAGCTACCCTACATTTGGGCTTTGCATTGTAGAAAGCATGGTAAATGTAATCACTGTTGCAAGAAAACTTCAAATGTCCATCATGATAACTTTATAAATGTGATTAAAAATAAGCTTAACCTTAATGTGCAGTACTGAGCAAGAGAGACCACCATTTATTTATTTTCCATACTAGTCAAAGCAGCCGTTTTGCTGGCAAATGGCACTTAATTTAATTTTCAGGAGATTTTTCTTTTTCTGAGGAGATTAGATATAAAATACTACACTCACATAAGGGGAGGGAAAGTCAAAGTAAATTAAGTGGAAAAAAACAGGGGAGTCTCCAAAACTGGAGTTCAAAAATGATTAAAAGTTATAGAGATAATGGAACCCCTAATAACAACCAAAACTGTCACAATCAGATAAACGGTGCTTAAAACTTTCATCTTTGAGAGAGAGGAGAAAATCAAGCTCCACTCTTGCTTTAGATCTAAAAAATCCACAGGTGTTTCTGTCCATCCTTCCACTGTGAGAAGACAACACAACACTAGGAGTCTAAAAGAATGTGTAGCTGTCAGGAACAAATTTGCTAATCAAACAAAGAAGCTGCTGGTGTTCTCAGAACAATGGAATGTCCAGCCCAGAGTCCAGACCTCAACATCACTATTACTTGGATCATAAGAAGCAGAACATACAACCAACTTCTAAGACTAACTTTGGAGATGTGGAAAAATATCCCTGCAGATTTCTTTGAAAAACTGAAAGCAAGTCTCCTGAAAAGAATGGAAGCTGTAATAAAGGCAAAGTGTGGACACATTTGATACTGAAAAGTTTGATTTCATATTTAGTTGCTGACACTTCTGTGTAATTTTCTGCATTTTCCTAATGCTAAAAAGTAAATAACTTTTATGTACTTAATGTATTTAGTTGGTCTCTGAGATGGGAGGTCTCTGACTTTTCCCACACTACTTTATGCTAATGTAACAATGCTACATCGCTACAGAAACAGCAGATAGAAATCAGGTTGAAAATGCTGGAGTATTCTTTAACCCCTTGAAACCCCAGGCTCAGATTAACCCCTAAAATCTCATGCTCAGATTAGATGTAAAGAAGTAAGAGACCAATTGGGACTCTTTACCTCCTTAAATTCCCAGGTATTTTGCTCCATTTCTCAAGTGTGATGTAGAAGTGTTAGAGCATGTAGAGGAAAACATCTACAGTTCTACACAGTTATGTTCTACTAAGCAATGACATATGGCATTCCCTTCTCTCAGTTACTGTACTGTTTTTGCATTCTTTCTGTTTGGGAGCTTCTTCACCAGTCCACACAAACCTGGCAACCCTGTCCTGAGAATCAGGCTAAAATATGTCATCATGATGAAATCGCAGCAAAAACTCTCTATGGAGGGGATGACTTCACCACCGCTCATCCTTTAAGCGCTTATTTAATCTTTTCAAGTTCATTAAGAAGATAAGAAGAACGCGGTGGGGGCAGGAAGGGCATGGATTTGAGCTGCCCAAGAAGTAATAGTATGCGTGGGGGGGGGCGGTTCAGAGACAAATGCAATTACTTCAGCTTCCTCAGATTTAGAGACACTTTCAGCTACATGCCCAGAAATAACCATCCGTGGGCACAGAAGCAGGTCAACGTAAAGAGCCTTTGACTTACGCTTAAAAATAACTCGCCACAATACTACATCCTGCATGGGCAGGATGCATGATATGAGTCATGCTATGAAAAAAAATGTTTATGCAAATGTCCACAATAAGTCTTTTGGGTATAAAAAGAACATTGTAGAACATATCTAATTAATTCGCCAGGGGACATCCTGGAATTTGGAAAGCTTTCAAAGCAACCAACAGGAAGCATCATCACTGTGCAGTAAGAGCATCTGTAGAACATGTCCATTTGTCCCAGAAATCTGTTTCTGCTCAGGTGGTCCAAGCCATCCAAAGGTTTTGGGGTGGTCTGCCAATATTAAGCACTTAGAGCAAAATGGCAACAAAAGAGTGCAATAATTATTTTTTTAACACTGGTTGTGACATCACATTCATTAAAATTATGGCAATTACCATAATGGCACCCCCATTAAGAATAATTTATAATTAGGACATAATTAGGATAACACATTCACAATTGCGTTTAGCGTAATCCTGGAACCTCTGATTACGACAGTCTAACAGGCATGAACATCCTCCCTCAGTTCAGTTTAAAGGCATCTGTACACTGTGATTCCATCTGAGTTTATTCCAGCAATACTTACTGACATTTGACAGTTTAAAGACAGACCATGGGAACATATTCAATCATGTTGCTTTTATACAGTACGGTGTGAAAGCTAGAGACCACCCTTCATTTATCTAATTTCTGGTCAAAGTGGCCATTAAATATAATTTCTTCATTTTTCAGCTACAGAACATTACACAGAAGCCTCAGCAATTAATTATAATGTACATTTTTTCAGAATTCAGTGTGTCCACTCCTTGTGTTTATTACAGCTTCCATTCTTCCACTCTTCATTCTCAGGAGACTTGCTTTTAGTACTTTAAATCTGCAGAGATCGTTTTCAACACATCTAAAGTTCAGTCTTAGAAGTTGGTTGCAAATTTTTCTCTTTTGTAAATGTCAGTTTCTCAGTAAGGGCTTCTTCACAGCTACACATAATTTCAGACTCATAGTGTTGAGTTGTCTTCTCACAGTGGAAGGATGGACAGAATCTGATCTGACGCAATTGCAGAGCCTAATTTTCTTTTATCTATCGAGAAAGTACTGTTTATCTGATGCTGACAGTGGTCTTTTAGGTCTTGGGTAGTTGTTAGAAGTCCAATTTTCTCTATCTTTTACATATACAATTGTTTCAACTTTGGTTTTTGAAACTGTTTGCCCTACTTTACGCAAGTAGATTATCATGTATCTAATTTCCTCAGAACTACCTCCTGAAAAACAAATCACTTGTGCTAAATGAAATAAATATAGGTGGTCTCTGACTTTGCACAAGGCTGTATGTTGTAAACTTCACAATGTACGTTATCACATTTCCAACACCAATTTGACTTGTCAAGGTGTTAAGAGTACACAGAATTTAGTCCATGCAGAAATATGGACAGAACATTTCCAGCTTTATCTGAGCATTTATTTTGACCACAATAAGCTGCTCTCGGCTCTCCATCGGCTTTACATTTTCAACCTTTCATGATGAGTATTCCCAGAGTCGTGGACTCCTGCTATGGTACATGAGCCATCAAGCATTGTACTTGGGGCATTCTGTCATTTTATTAATATATAACATGATACATATGATATGGTTATACAAATTTAGAAGTGACCCTTCAAAAACAAACAAAATATATGATGTCTGTGTAATGGATCCAACAGTCTGCCACTGGAGTCATAAGATATTTGCATTTAACAAAGCAACACTTTCTTGTTGGCACAACGGCTGTTTGACCAAACTTTTGCTGGCAAGCCCAGAAGCTTTGTCGCTGAAAAAGTCCGTCTCCGGATTTACAGCTTACTCTATTAAAAACTGTTTTGGTGTGTGCTACAGAGAGCCTTTTTAAGACTGTGAGCAGAACCAGGAAGGCGAAACAGGAAGGCGCCTGAGTCAAATTCTGAGTGAAGTCAATAAATCAAATCACTTTGTCAAATGAATATTGAGGATATGTGCTTAACCAGATGTTTCTTCAGCTTACTGTCCACTTCAGGAATCTTATGAACAGGAGTTAATGGCATTATAAGCACCCATCTCTTTTGCCAAATCTCACAAATAAAATAAATACATCTCCTTCATTATGAAATGTTGTAAACATTGAGACATAATATTTGCAAAAACAATCTGCACCCCTGTATGTTTGAATATACTGTTTATACTTTTATCACTGTACAGCATTGTTTACTGTGGTTTACTCTTATCTAGAGCTTACTGAGATGGGTATTTGGTATATTTCTGGTTCACAGTGTCCCAAGCCTTCTAGAGCTTTCATACAGAGTCTACTTTCACTTGGTTATTGTTTGTCATTAAAGGGGATGGCTTGCTTTTGATCCTGTCAACACCTTCGTTCGAGCTTTCCGGGAAGAACATCCGAGCAGTGCAAAATGAGACGATGATTTTTTTGTACTCTCTTCTGAAGTTCTGATTGAGCAGTCCATATACGATTGCGTTAAGGCAGCTGTTGAAGTAGGCCATGAAGTAACTTGATACAAAAAACCACTCAGGGATGAGCGGCGCCACCCGTTCGGGGTCCACGGCGACGGCCAGGCCGATGAAGTTGAGGGGCGCCCAGCAGACGGCGAAAAGCACAAACACCACGAACATGGTGACGAAGTTCCTGACGTCATGCGGCGTCAGCTTGGGCCGGAACTCGGGCTTGACGCGCCTCCGCACTTGAATGACCAGGATCCAAATCCTCAGGTAGCAGTAGGTGACGATCAAGATGGGCAGGGTGAAATGAAAGAAGACCACAGCGATGGTGTAGGCAGAACTGGCCGACTGCGCGAACGTGCACGAGTACACCCTGGGGTCGTACTGCAGCGAGCCCACAAAGAAGTTTGGCACTATAGCCACCACAGTCAGTATCCAGATAAGCAGCACATAGCACAGGGAGTTTTTGTCACTGTACAGCTTATCATACTTGAGGCTGTGACAAATGTAACAATAGCGGTTGATAGCAATGCCAGTGATGTTAAATATAGATCCGATGACGCTCAGTCCCATCACGAACCCACTGATTTGGCAGTGGACAAAGCCCAAGTTCCATCCATTGTGGAAAATGGACATCAGCACCAGGGGGTAGGGGTAAACAGCCACCACTAGGTCAGCTACTGCCAGGCTCACCACAAATATGTTCCCTGCAAAAACAAACACAGTACAGTCTCAATCCTGTTTTGTCATTTCATATTTATTTTCACAAAGAACGAGAAACCAAAATTTAGTAACAAGGCAGCACTTTGAATAGGCCAAAAATATCTAGTAGAATACAGCAGAGTCACAAACACAAAACACATGAGTAAACGGTACAAAGGCACAGAAAGGACTTATTTCCTATTTTTGTATTTTTCTCAGGTCCACTAATGACATTCTTGTGTTTTCCTGTACAAAAACAGCAATAATTTATTATCACATGACCTTTTTCAGACCTCTCCTTATCCCTTAAAATGAAACAGGCAGTTTTTGTTACTGTGCTTTTAGACTGATATATGTAAATGATCTTCTGATTGGCTGCCTTGTATTGTGCTTCATTCAAAACGTAGTCCAAGCCAAAACACTCCTTATAAAGTCAGTGTGAATGGGCAGAGCTAAACTGCTGTAGGCTGAATAAGTGAACAATACCGCTGCTGACGGAATCTCCATCCTTGTATCTCCATTTTTCTGTTTATGATATAATTTGAAAATGCCTGTTGCCCTTTACATTGTATGTAAATTTAATGATGAATGGGCCAAAACAAATAGCCCAAAATGTCTGAAAAAAGTCTGGTTCCATTGACTTGCATTAAAAGTAAAGTAGGTTTTTTCCTTTTCCTGTGAAGTAATCATTTTGGAGATACGAGGTTTTTTCTTCCGACAACAGCGATATGTAAAAGCACTTGTTTATATAAAAGCATAGTCAAATACAAACATTTTGCCACCTCTGGTTAAAATTTCATATTTTGTTGATTTTTTAAGTAAAAAAAAAAAAAGTGGCCCGTGCAAAAGTTATGGCACATTTTATATATTCTGTTTTATTTTTTCCAGCATGTCAAACTCAGCAAATGAGCAGAAAGTTTGCATAAAAATTTTTAGAAAATTGCTACATATATGTCTATTGCTCGTACAGAATGTGTTCACTTATTTTCAACCAAACATGTAATTTGACAAAGGGTATTCTAAATTTTGCATATGATTATATATGGACTGTGCAGTGAATGATACATTTTGAAACTTAAACAATGTTTACAGACATCAAAACTCTTCTATTTAAGACAATTAAGGAAAATTTGGTTTTCCATGATGTTGAGCCCTTAACATTAAAACAGACTGTACATATTCTCATCAAATAAGTAGTCAACAACTGATGACTAAAAAAAAGGAGATAAACGATGAGAATTAATGTAGCAAAAAAGTACAAAACCAAGAGTTTTACATGAAAACAAATATTTTCCCCGTTTGGCTGATATCTTTTAAAACACTTTACATTTGTTGTACATCCCATACTTCTTCATAGATGATGCCAGTTGTATTTTAATAGCATGACCTTTATTGCATTAATTAAGTCATATCTTTCCTAAGTCTGTCAGCTGCTTTCTCTATTAAAAGGATTTGGGCTGCACCTGCTGCTGTCATATGATGTTTCGTTCTCCTGTGAAGAAGAATGTTCTGGTCTCTGGCTCTCAAGACAGTTGTGGTATAGTATATTTAACCAAATAGTATAGCACAGTAGCATAGTTTTTATTCCTCACTACATGCAGAATGAATTTCAATACATTCATAACTCATATCCACACACATCATTTATTCCGCTTATCCTCCTGGGTCACAGGAGGTGCTGGAGCCTATCCCAACAGTCGTCAGGCAGAAGTCAGGATCATTCACAACAATCATCTATTTGTAGTCCTTGCCAGTAAAGCACATTTCACTGAAAATAATAATGCACAGTCTTGATTGGATTCAAATGTACAATTTCCACAAGCATAAAATATATTACATCAACACAATTATTACCAAAAATAAGTGAACAGCAGAATTATGCTGATGTAATATATTTCATTAATGTAGAAATTGTGTATGATTTGAATTAAGTAAATTCAGTACATCACTTTTTTCAGTGTATAACCCATAATTGCTATTACCTCTGGCAATAACAAAAGCACAGTAATTGTCACTTGTAGCTCAATGAAACTTGAAAATTTAAATTCTTCTGAAAAGCATAGATTGTGAACTTTCAATCAACACGATACACATACGATGTGTTCTTAGGTAGGAGAGCAGACATTTTTATTACACTATAAATATTGAAAGTTAGCTGAATTAAACTTGCAAGGCAACTTATTATACCGTTAACGCAACCAGAGAACACGCAGTTTTCAGTTTTGCATTGAAGTTAGGTAAAATATACAGAATTTCCCCACTACCCAAGAATCCTTTCATCACACAATTCCACTAGAGCTTAAAATATCTGTGTGCACCTGTCGGGACTCTACTGCTCATGTCGGGTTTGGTCGGGTTCAGACATCATTTCTCAAATATATGCTGGGCTTTGATTGGGTTCAAATTTCACATTCAGCTTTTCATAGCCGGCCTCCCACCTTTAACAGACTGTACCCTACATTTCCACCTGCTTCAGTTTTTTTCTCTTTACTCTTCTCTTTAATTTAATCTTCATTACTTTCACTACCTTCACTTTTATTTAGTTTTATAATTTGGCACGCTGAAATCACCTGCACCACGAAGCCCAGGATAAAACAGTGAATCGTTTCAGGAGAGTACGTTTTAGTGCAGCCAAAAGAACAACAATGTTTGTATGTTCAATATGTTCTATGTATGGAAATAGGGTTAGGATTAAACCCTTAACAAGCCACGGGCCCGCGGGCAGGCCCAAAGTATTATTACACACTTCTATAACCTAAGAATAGCTCCATTAGTTTCCATTGAAGTCCTGGTGAATAATAACACACAGCAAAGCAAGAGAACAGTGCAGTATGGAAAGTTTATCTAGACTAAAACATCTGAAATGTTGTTCAAAGCCTTATTACATTAATAAACCTGTCAAAGCAGTATTTTGTAAAATTATTTTATCATAGCACATTATTTTATATTGTTATCTGTGCTCTAAACACACTCTAATGCTATTATTGCCAATACAAAGTATTGAGTGCTATCCTGCTGAACTCTGTTGTTCATGGGTCAGTTTTGGACTCAAAACGTAATGTTGTAGTTTGGGTTTGAACTTAAACCCCACCAAGCATTGATGGCTGTGGCACTGCTGGGGTTTAAATTCATGATCTCCTGATATTGGGTGATCGCTTAGACAGATGCACCACTTGGCTGCCTCTGAAGTTACTCAGTTTTCGTGTCCTTAAATGTTCAAATTATTTTAACTTCAAAAAGTATGTATCCATGGGCTCACTGCAACATCAGAAGACTGTGAGTTTGAACCCTAATGATGCCACAGGCATCCATTACTAGGAGCCCAAGACGAAAAAATGACTGGTGGGATTATGTATGAAAGGTTTTGATAAAAGGTTTTTGTTACATAGTTTTGATTTGCAGAAAGTAAAGCCATCCTTTATATATTTGTCATATTTTGTCATTTGTTGACACTGAAACAAACAGGAAAAAGCTGAAACTGCAGAACCTGCTGATACAGAATACATTCAGTGTAAAGTTAGTGTAAAAGTAATTCATTGCATAACATACACTGCATATCTTACATGATAACTTTTACTTACAGCCAAACAAAAGCAATTTTTTTTTTACTTCTAACGATTAAGCTAGCAAAGGTGATGAATTTCTTCTAATCTAGCAACTAAGGACTCTGAAGCAAATCAGATCAGTCACTCACGCCAGATATGACACTTGCAGGAGCGAGAAGCATGTAGTATGACCTGAAAGATGTTGACCTGGAACTCTTTCTCCCATCTGTCTTCCCTCATTACTGCTAAGCTTGTATGACTGTGGTCTCTGCAAGCCACAGTCTGCTGCCACGAGGCGCTGCGGGGGAGCACAAGTTTGAAAGTGTTTGGAAATGTCATGCATGCTCTCTCATTAGTTCAAGGCACTCCTCTCCCCGTGGATTTTTCTGGGAAGGAAGAGGAACAAAAAGAAATTTTTGTCTGGATTTTAAAACGTTTTAGAAGCTGTAGTGTTTTGAAGCGTTTATGGTGACTGGGCAAAGGCTTGTTGCCAGATAAAGAGCGTCGCTCTGACCTGAACACGAGTTTCCTTTTTCTCCCCTCATGTCAAAGCGCTGTCACTAACGCTCACCGCGACAGACCGGGCGACATGATTCCTGGAATGCTGCAGGGTTTGCTAAGTATACGCATTCATGATTTAGTGCATTTAGCTTGATGCTACAGGCGATCATCAGAGCAGAAGAGCTTTCCAGAACTGTAGCTTGAAATTATTCTTGCAGTGACATCCCTGCACATCTTCTGGTTTTTGGGCTGCTGTGCTCTCCTTTCAGTCACAGACATGTGAGAGATGAGCAGGGAGCAGCATATATTAGAGCAGCAGCCTGGAATGCCCAGCAGGGTCCCTCTAGTGTGACCCTGGGTCCTCTCAGTGGACATCATCTCCATCTTTAGAGGTCATGAGTGAAGAAGTGACTTTCTGAGTGCACAACTGATAAATGAGCTGAGCTTGCCCCGCTAAGGAAGTGCCCTGTTCTTTGTATGCATATATACTGTAGAGGTCTTTCCTTAATGCACTGCATGAAGTGAGGACAAGGCTCAGCCTTTAAGCTCTGATGTGGGCACTTACTCCTTAAAAGGCTAAAGTTATTAGCCTCATAACATGAGGCCAAAACAATTTCCATTTGCAACTGAGGCAGGCAACAAAGCCTTACGAAAAAACAAAAACAAACAAGCAAATAAAAAAAGCAAATTTTAAAAGAGCATTAATAATTAACAATAATGTTATGTTTCACATTAGAGCTCATGGTTCGCTCCTTTTATTTGTTCCAAGCTTTGAGTTCAACCAGACATAATATTTGCTTTTTGTAAATTTTCAGTCCTCAGCTGGTGTTTAGCTTTTTAGCAGAACGGGCTGTTAGTGTCTGGATCTTTGAAGCGCAATAGCTAAAAGAAAAATGATGACCTCAAGATGACTAAACATTAAAATAACATAAAAAATCCTGTTTTGGCATTTTCTCTGT